TACATAAAATTACCATCCCATCGAGTAAAACGTGGCCGGGATAGATCATCTTGCACGGCATGAATGGTTGAATGTTCAAGAAACCAAATCTGCAAAAAATAAGACATTTTATTTTTGTTATATAAATTGGAAATTACTAATGATCCTTTGAATAAATTAATAATACTCACAATTACAATCATGACGAAACCATTTACATATCCCTGTGCGACTCCATTTGCTTTTTTAGTAGCAACACTGTTGAATTCATGTACTAGGAAATTTCTAATCGATTCTGGCCAATTGTACGTTATAAAACTATCTACATTTTCGACAACTTCCAAAATAGATGCTGTAATGTGGAAGTTCGCCATTCGATAAAAAATATTGGACAATAGGTAAAGAACAAATCCTTTTACTAAATCATCCATCTGTGTTGAATGATCCATCCTTTCAATGTCATGCCGAATGTTATTGGATGTTTTGCCAGTGGATCTAGCACTGCTAACGTCAAATATAATACCTCTGTTTGGAAAGCCTATGATTAAGGCAAGCTCATCTAATGTGAATTCTACCATATGTCCTTTAATAATGAAACTCTCAGTCTTCAAATCCCAATTCATCAGCAGCATGTGCATAATTGGAACATTCTGAGGCATAAGAGGAAGCCTTAGAAACTGGCTAATTTGCAATTGACGTAAACTTTCAACCAGAGGATCTCCAAATCTCCGAACAAGTTCATTACATACTTCTCTAAAACTAGAAGTTCGGCATCTGAAATGTATCTTTGGAGTATATCCCTGCATAACGAATACCAATTATTAAAGTCATACCAAACATAATAAACTTAATACCGATGTTAATATGTATAAAACCGTGCAGTACCGAGCAATACCGAGCAATACTGAACATAATACCGAGCAATATCGAGTGATCATAATTGGTTAAATCGCTCGGTACAGAGCAGTACCGAGTGCAAGGATAGATTTAACTCGGTATTCAATCAATAATATTTTTCATTTTTTTATCTAAACTTATACCGACAATTAAACGCCAGTACCGAGCAGTACCGAGTAATACCTAACATAATACCGAGCAATACCAAGTGATCATAACTGGTTAAATCTCTCGGTACAGAGCAGTACCGAGTGCAAGGATCGATTTAACTCGATATTCAATCAATAATATTTTTCATTTTTGTATCTAAACTTATACCGACCATTAAACGCCAGTACCGAGCAATAACTAACATAATACCGAGCAATACTGAGTATTCAAAACTGGTTAAATTGCTCGGTATAGAGCAGTACCGATTGTAAGGAATGATTTAACTAGGTATTCAACCAATATCGAGCAGTACCGAGTATGTATAACTGTATATACCGCTCGGTACCGAGTACTATATGACTTCATCAGTAATCCCAAACCCTAAACCCTAAAAGAATTAGATGAGGCAATGCTTAGCAATAAAGTCACTAACCTGAGGCATTATTTCTTATCGTAAGCTTCGAACTTGGAAGAAGATGATTTCTACCAGGAAATGCGGGGAGCTTTGAACTTGATAATGTGGGGAGCTTCGAACTTGGAAGAAGAAGAATAGTTGTCAAAAACAAATCTTCGTATATGCAACCAAATGATGACTGAAGTGAAAGATGAAATACAGTGATGTTTATTTTCAAATTAAACATAAATTTCGGGTCCGCCGCGATTTTCTTCGGTTCGCTTACCTGACCGTAATATTCAAAAATCGCACGTGCCATGGCCCAATATTTGGCGGGTCGGGTCAGCGAAAAGCCACCTGCGACGTGGCGCTCGATTAGGCAATGCCGAACATAGAGCAGCGTCAGGTGGGAGGAGGCAATAAAAATTCTTTTTTTTGGGTGTCCTTTCTATGAGAAATGAGGGGTCAATTTAAAGTTTTCTGAGAGTGGCATGACCATTAAATACCATGAAGATCAAGAGTAAATTGTGAGTGGTTTGAATGGAAAGCCGATGTCGAATCCTTTGATTATGAACTATTTATTAGGCATTTGAAGGCCTTAATTATATCAAAATTTGGCGATATTGGGCTCGTTGGATTCGTCTCTTTGAGACGCTCGATTTGACTATAAGCATGTCACGTTTAGAAACCATTTTATAATCCAAATTATAGTTTGAAACCTCCAAATGCACGTTTTTGATTTCCACTCATTTAAGCTCAGATTGGGTCGAAATTGGTGTCGTTGGGTTTGTAATTCAGAGGCGTTTATTTTGATTATAAGTTTGCCAACATTAGAGCTTAAATGGTCCTAGATTTAATTTTTTAAGTTTCCAACTTTATTTTTTCCTCGAGATTCATGCTTGATTAAGATAATTTTTTGATGATATATCAGTTGCCCCCCTATTTTTGGACGTCAAATCTTCAAAAGTCCGAAAATACTTGTCACCACTATCGCCCGTTGACTACAGTCTCCAAGACCATCGTCGCCCATCGACTACAATCCTTCTTACCATCTTCATACAAAGCTTAGACACTAAACTCGATATCTCTCTATTTCCATGAATTTTCCAGGACGCAACAAGACATAATTATCATAATATGAAAAATTTAATGAAATATTTGAGATTATTTAAGCTTTATAAGATATAAATATACAATTAAGGAGTAGTCTTTAAATTATTATTGAGTTCATTTCTTTAATTAAAAGAATAATAAAATAAGTAACACATTTAACCATTGTTAGCAAACATAAGACTAGATTTAAAAGTTTAGGATCTCATAAATATATTAAATACATTATGATCAAGATCATGAATAGTAATAATTTATGCACATGACCATTAATTATATAATATATAAATTGATTTTCAAATATAAATACATTTTGAATAATTCAAATAAATTGAAATTTAAGCCAAATATGTTTTAAAATTATTAAAGTTTTTTTAACTATGTAAAATCTATTTTTAAAAAATTAGATTTAATCAATTTTTGTTTTGTGTTCAAAATCAACAAAAAAGAAATTATTATGAGCAACAAGCTCTCATACCAATTGTGAGCTTAAGACTACACCAAGAGGTGAGGGGTGAGTTGAGTGTGCATAATTACTATTAAACTATAATTCAAAATTATTCCAAATTCAAAATCATATAATAAATATGCGAACTAAAATAAATTAGTTGTTGCTTATTTGCTGATCTTCAATAATAGAAAATCAAGATGTAGAAAACCAAGAAACTAGAAATCTATCATATACTAGAAGCTGAGGTGCTGAATTAAGCTTCAGCTTGTGCCTGAAGTCAGACATCTATGTAAATGCTTTAGCCTGTTCTTAAAGCCATGACCATGAATTGAGCTCTGATGTGTGCTAGAAGACAAAATTTGAATCGAATAATTGCTGGAATATTTAGGAAACCAAATTCCAAAAACTTAACACTATGCTCACAATCTCACAGAACAAAGAAAAAGAAACAAACTAAGGTGCAGAGAAGGATATACAAGAAACCATACCATTTACATAACACTATAGGGAAAAGAACAAAATAAACTTATAAGACTGTTGACAGATTTAAAATGATAAAAAAATGGAAAGTACGAATGCTCCAACCACTAAAATTCCAAAAAAAAATTGAAACAAAATATTTGAACATAAGATGTGAGACTTGTATCACTCTTCATCCACCATGGAACTTGCAGCCATGTTGAACTAGTGAAAACTAGATTGGAAAATTTTAAATATATGGCTAAGGAATATCAAATCAAATTATATTAAGAACATTATCCTTGTTTAGTGGATCTGCTTGGAAGAGAAGGTCATGTTTATGAAGCTTATAACGTTATATCTGAAATGCCATGAAACCAAATGCAGATACTCTTGAGACATTTTTTTTAGTTGATAAAAGGTCCATGAGAGGACTGAACTAGCAAAATGGGCAACGGATAATCTCTTAGCATGGAACCAAATTAACATATGAATTATAAGTCAATGTTTAAATATCTATACATCTGCTCAGCTTTGGGAGGATGTAGCAAAGATAAGGTGTTGACTAATAAAAAAAAAAAAAGGCCTAATAGAATATAAAAAAGGAAGTAAAACAAAAGCGTTATAAAGAGGTGATGGTATCTTGAATATGGAAATCGTAGTGCAGTTAATATAAAACTACTGACCCAACAAGCAAACAAAGGAAAAGGGTTAGAACTTATATTAACATAGTTTTCTATACAACAATCGGTAACGAGTGATCCTCTTCAATTTTAATTTGAGAAGAGTTCTACAATCCAGGAAAACTACAAGCAACAATAAGCTTAATATTAAAAAAAATGGCACAAGTTTTAAAAGATAAAAAAAAAAAAAACAAATTTTATCATTTCAAGCTTCTTAGACTTGAATATGTATATGCTCTTGAGAAGGATTATGTTGAATAAAACAAATAAAAAAAAAAGAAGAAAAAATATACATGAAACAAAAATAATAATATACAGCAAATCGAAGAGTTTGAATCTCTTCACGATCTCGAGCCTGCCCCACTTCGTCAAACGACGTCTTTCTTCGATTTGGTAACGGTTATTCAGTGATGCATTCCATAAAAAGGGAAATAGGATAAAGAGATGAAGGAGCACTTTCAATATCTCGAGAAAAAAAATCCTACTGCATGCAATTGTGCCTCGCATTCAAAGTCGATTTCATATCCATGCCTTTCGTCTTCACACCGGCAAGCCAGCATCTACTCCGTCTTTCACTTGGAGTACGTCGGCTGAAATAGCCCCATCTCCGCCGTCAAATACCAATCTGCTTCTTGTTTTGTGTCTTCACTACGTTTGCTGCTTTTTTTTTTTGGGAATTTTTGGGGCGAGAAGCCCATCTCATTGCTAAAAAGATTACAAGTAAGTAAAGTAATCAAAACTATAATCCAAAATCTCAAACAACAAAAAGAGATTTTGGATTCTAAAGAAAAGAAAATATAATTCTAAAGGGAAATGAAGCAAAAACAGTTAGGCAATAAGCCAAGGACTCAGAAAAATGCTCAAATACTCGAAAGGGTCAAAATCGCGTTTGGGTGTTGATATGAGCATAGCCCCTGGTTGCCCAGAAGACCATCCAAGGGGTAGCTGAAATCGGTTCAGCGTTCATCATCGTCCTATCAAAGTTTTCCTCAGCATCCAGCATAATGAACTGCACCTCCAGAACAATGAAAAACCACCAACCAGGCAATTGAAAGAAAGACATCAAGGAGAAGTCCGGTACCACAGAAACACCCCAAAACCCAAATCCATATAGTTTTACTGTTTCCATCGCAGATTTTTTAACAGCACCACTTTCTTGATTTTAGCAATAATAGTGTCTTTGCTGTCAATAATGCCACCAAATAATCTATCGTTTCTTGCTCTCCAAATAAAATAAATCGAGGCAGCAGCCATAAGAAGATAATGGTTTTTAGTCTTAGCAATAAAACCTTGCTCACAAATGCTATAAAAAACCTGGTGAAAATTTGGCCTCATAAAAAGATTATGCATCCAGGGGAAAAGAGCTCTGGCAATATAAAAACTGTAGCTGCATTCATAGAATAGGTGAGTAATAGACTCCCTATCAATGTGGCAAAAACAACAGGTATTTGGAACCGAAATACCCCGAACAGTAAGAACATCCGCTATTTTTAAACCCTCATTAAACATCATCCAAGCATTGTGCTTATGCCAAATGTATTTATGCCAAGGAACCACATTCAGATTTTCATAAAACTGGGAATTGAAATCATTAAAAGTGGGATTTTGCTTGTTGTTCCAGAGGTGGTACTCAGAATAATTATCAACAAGAACAGAAAGAATGATAGTAGCCATTTGGTTATCCAAACAATTAGGAAGGTTCCAGTTATCAGCTAAAATGAGCTGGGAGACAGTACAGTCAAAGAGAGAGGAAAGACTGGAAGTGTTGTTCGTGCTCATCAAGTAATCTGCCACGGAAATTCCCCTACACCAAGGGTCCCAAAAGAAAGATAGGTTGCTGGAAGCATTTACAGAGAGAGTAAGGCGGTTTTTGATCTCATTAGCTTTAACACACAAATAATCCCAGTAATGAGAGTTGTTTTTGGTCTTAGGCTTCCAAAGCGATTGATAATTAGCTCTCCACCAGGAAAAGAGAAGGGAATCAGCGTTTAAGAACCTCCAAATGATAGAACAAGCATAGCTATGCTTAAGAGAGTTGATAGAAGGAATGCCTAGTCCCCCATATATTTTGGGGCAGCAAGTTTTACTCCAGGAAGCAGTAACAAGTTTCCTCTCTTGAATATTGCCAAAAAAAGTAAATCTAGAACATAGCCTAGAAATTTGCTTACAGCAACCTTTGGGTATGATAGAGCCACGAATCCAGTATGCCAAGGTGTTAGAGATAGTGAATTTAATAAATTGCACACGCCCAGCCAAAGATAACGTTTTTGCTTTCCAACCCTCTAACTGAGAATTAATTCTTTGAATTAAAGGATTAAAGTCGCTTAATCTCAGTTTCCTATAGAAAATAGGTAAACCCTTGTATTTAATGGGTGAAATGGATTGCTGAATATTAAGGATATTACAGATATCATCAGCAGCCGGAGTGTTCTTAGATAGCAGAATAGAACTTTTAAGAGGGTTCACATTAAGACCGGTGACAGTAGCAAAATCTTTCATAATGGATTTAATAGTGTGGGCATTCCTCACAGTGGCATTGCAAAACACTAAAAGATCATCATCAAACATAAGATGTGAAACCTCACACCTACCAACTTTGATAGCTTGGAGGGAGTTGCTAGCAGTAGCAATGTCAAAAATAGAGGACAATCCATCCATGATGACAGAAAAGAGGTAGGGTGATAGAGGACATCCTTGCCTGATGCCCGAGGTGGAGTTAAAATAGCCTTCAAGCACCCCGTTAATGCAAATAGAGAAGTGTACATTGGAGGTGCAAGCTTTGATCCAAGAGATAAACAAGCTAGGGAAGCCTTTATCTTCTAATATTTTGTAAAGAAAATCTCTAGACACCATGTCAAATGCTTTAGTAATGTCAAACTTGGTACATAAGTATTTGTGTTTGGCTTTAAGGTTAAAGCGACCAAGGATATCAGTAGCCAAAATGATATGATCAGAAATGATTCTCTTATGTATGAAACCACCTTGGCTAGGGTGGATAATATGCGGCATCACCAACTTCATTCTATTTGCAATGATCTTTGTTATGATTTTGTAAATGACATTGCATAGGGCAATAGGTCTGTAGTCTTTGACATTGGTAGCATGAGTTTGCTTAGGGATGAGGGCAATAGCAGTTGCTTTAATCTGATTAGGCATGAAACCAGTAGTAAAGAAAGAGGAGACAGCTCTACAAAGTTGGTGCTGTAAGACATTCCAAGTGGATCTATAAAAGTCGAATGTGAAGCCGTCGGGGCCAGGGGCCGTATTAGAATTGCCTAAAAAAACTATGTTTTTAATCTCCTCCATAGTAACCGGAGCAATGAGTGAAGAAGTGAGGTGAGATGGAATCAGGCTCCCAGCAGGTATGTCAAATGCCAAATGGTTGGAAGCTGGAGTATTGAAGAAATTCTTGTAGTGATTAATAAAGACGTTGGCAATATCAGCATGCTTGGTATAGGTGCCCTGATCATTAGTGATAGCCTTGATCCTATTGTAGTTTTTGGTGATGTTGATTTTGGAATAGAGAAACTTCAAATCATCTTCACCGTGAGTAGCCATTTAATCTTGGCTCTTTGAATAATCCATCGAGAGAGTGCATCTTGATAAAAAGCAAGGTTTGAATTTATTTGATTGAGCTTGCCATTCAAGATAGGATCAAGAGGGTTGCTTTGAATTTGAGATATAACAGAATGTTGAAGGTCTTTGAGATTATCAATGTCTCTTTGGATCTGATTAGCATTGGTCCAGCTTTTGTGTTTCATAACATTCTTAAGGGTTTTGAGCTTGAAGTTGAAGGAGCTTAGAGGACTACTCTCATTGGGAAGAGAGAAAACCTCTAAAAGGCAATCCCAAAATTCAGGAAAAATGGTACAGTAGTTTTTGTATAAAAAGCGGTGGCCACGCTTGTAGTCAGAAGAGCATACTAAGATGAGAGGGGAGTGATCAGAGCAATCCGGATCCGTAATTTTGTAGAAAGAGCTGGGAAAACAGTAGAGCCATTTGTTATTGACTAGAATACGATCTAGTTTAATATGAATTGGATTTTGAGGCTGCTGATTATGCCAAGTGAAGTAGTGCCCAACAGAGGATAGATCATGAATCCCAGCATTAAACACCATATTATTGAAATCTCCCATCTTAGAAACAGTCAAAGAAGTGCCCCCAATTTTTTCTCCCAGCTCACGGCAGCTATTAAAGTCCCCCAAAATAGCCTAAGGGGTATTGATAGAACCAGCCAAATTTTGAATATCATTCCAGAGAGATTGCCTCTCTGTATAAGAGTTACTAGCATAAACAGCAGTGATAGTACAAGATGCATTAGCATTAGTAGTAATAGTGCCATGGATGAGTTGGTTAGTCACAAAAGAGGACTAAAGTTTAAAGCGCCCTTGTTCCACTTAACCCAGATACGACCCGGATTGGAAACCTGAAAATTATCACAATTACCTTCTATAGGGAAAATTTGATGATTGGACATAAACCAATCGTTATGGAGGTTATTAAGGGTTATTTTAGCTTCAAGGATAAAAAGGAGATCAAGATTATGGGATTGGACAAGATTTTTGCAGCTTTTGACTTTGACAGGGTTGTTAAACTCGCGTATATTCCATGCTGCAAAGTTGGGAAAGGTCATTGGACTTTGTTGTTGGGGGTAGAGGCTTTTTTTCCAGTCTTGCCTCTAGTTTGTTTTTGATTTTGGTTGCTTGCATGTTGGGCTTTTGGAGTATTGAATGTGGAGCTGCTTGAGTCATTTGAAGTTGTAAGAATACTAGGTTGATGGTTGCGGGGGGATGTATGAGGTGGATTGTTATGTTTAGGATGAGATTAGCACTTTCGGTATTAGCGTTGTCCGTGTTACTGAGTATTGGGGCATGTTTTGAGCTTTGAGGTTGGACCTCATCAGTTTTGTCAAGATCGATTAAAGATTGGAATTTATTGGCTGTGTTTATGGGAGGGGGTCTTTAGATTTAAATGATGGTTCGGGGTTGTCCTGCACTTCACTAGAAGGTGAATTCAGGTTAGGGAGAATTGGGCCAACAGTGTTATTGCTAGTGAGGATTTGAGTGGGTATGAGAGTAGTGACCGAGCTGTTCACCTTGAGGGGCTGTGTGGGTTTGGGTATAGTAAGTCTGGGTGGAGGAGAGGGTCTAGGTTTCCGACTGGAACTTTGTCCCCTGGGCTGAGTGTTGACAGTGGGTTTCAAAATGTGGTCTTTAGGACAGAGTGTGGGAGGGTGCATAATATAACCGCATTGTGAGCAATGTTCAGGTTTCCAATCGTAGGCCACACGAAGCGAAGTGACATTGCCGTCGACAGAATAGAAGATTTCTTCAGGTAGAGGGGAAGAGCTAGTAACTTGCACACATACACGCGCGAATGTGTGACGGGTTTTAGCCGCTGTAAGAGCATCTACGGCAATAGGGATACCAATGCAACTAGAAAGTTTAGATATACCTTCCGGTGTCCAAAGAGAAGTGGCAAGTTTAAGATTTTAACCCAGAGAGGTATGGAAGGAAATTCCTCGCGCTTGGGAACTAAATCTGGACTCCATTTCTGCAAAATGAACGGCTTCCCAAAGAAAAACTAGGGGCCCCTGTCCAAGCATGCTCGTAGTCTTCAAGGGTGGTAAACTTGAGCAAAAAGAATTCGTCGTCCATGGTGAGGAGGGAAAGTTCTCCTTTGAGCTGCCATGTCTTTTTGATCGTCTCTAGGAGTGCTTCGTAAAAAGTCGCTTCCCGATGGAGTAGCCTACCAGTGATAAGGCCCATTCTGGAGCTCCAGCAACAAATTGATCTGTGGTGAAGTTGGCAGTAAAGTTGTTGGTAGGGACGAAGGAGAGCGAGTGGGAAAAGTTTGTGGATATTTGGGGTGTGGTGGTGAGGAGGTTCTTCCAGAGGGGTGGAACAGAAGAGCGAGTGGGCGATGAAGAAGCGGGAGATGGAAGCGGCGGGAAATCAGCTGCAGCCATAGGGGAGGAGGCCCACTGGCCGGAGAGAGCGGCTCAAAGGAAGCAAACTAAGGTTTAGAAGAAAACCCTAGCGGAGCGGAAGCTGTCTTTTTTTTTCTTGTAGCACAAACTTTTCTCTTACACAGTACCTGTCACCTTCACTGAGAGGGAACTCTTTTTCATAAACTATTCCAATTCGTACTAATCTGCCTCCAATTTCTCAAGTTTTTTACTCTTGATTTTTTACATTCAGTCGGGATGATTTAAATTCGAGCTCTCGTGTCGTCAATTTTAGATCCGGCCGAGATGATTTCAAAGTGAAGACCTGCACCGTTGATTTTTAATTCGGGCAGATGGTTTTAAATTTGAAGACCCCGGGGCCGTCGTATCTTAGATCCTGCCGGGATGATTTCAAATTGAAGACCTCACGCAGTCGATTTTAGATCCCGATGAGATGGTATAAAATCAAAGACCCTACGCCGTCGACCTTAGGTCCAGGTAGGAAGAAATTACGACAGTGCCGTCGCGATTTCTCCCTCGGTGAGGAGGAGACGCCAGGAGGCTGCCAAAATTTCCTGAAAATTTACTTTGAAATAACTGGAGAAAGGAACGAATTTTAATTAGTTAATTTTCAATTAATGAGAATTAATTAATTGAAAAAATTATTTGGTTGAAACTAATTAAATTAAAACTTATTAAAATTTGTTAATTTAAATCAATTGATTGATAAATTAAATCAAATTGATTCTCCGAGAGCATTAAAAAAAATATTGAGAGTTTTAAAATATGGAAGTTTTTATAAATACGAATGTTTTAAAAATCTAAAGCAATTTAAAAGAAATTTAAAAATTTAGTTAAAATTCAAAAGCATTTTTAACTAAATAATTGGAGCAATTTTAAAATAAAAATACATTAAATAAAAGGAATGGGGGAGGGAAGTTTCCACTAAATGATATATAAAACATTGACTCTCAAACTCTCCAAAACTCTCAAACAAAAGCTCTCACAAACTGTACAAATTCTCCAAACAACTCAGAAAACTTCAAACTCCTTTATATGCTCTTCAAGGCACCCCTGTACAAGCTCTTACAACTACTTGTAGACCCTATCCTCTGCAATTGCAAACTCTGGCTACGAACACCTGCAAACAAGCAAATGAAAAGTCAGTATATCATAAATAAATTGAATGAATACTGATAAATCTAAGCTACTAAGGTATAATAGAGTACTGGAAGGTATGAAAAAGCAAGTAGAGTAAAAATGCTAGAAACAGGCAGAGCAGTGGACTACTGTAGTAGGAGAAAGACTACGAGCACAAAATAAAACAACAAAAATACTAATCCAGTGTCCCTTTCAAATTCTCTAAATAATAAATCTTAAACAACTGACATCCTCTTAACAAACACAATCAAATTCAAACCTTCGGACAGCCTGATTTATAAGAATTAGGTTGTAAGACCCACTACTCGGCAACTTTCGTAGGAAAGTAGTAAGCCCGATCTTAGGGGAAAGTCTTAGGTAAAATTGACCTAACTCCTAAACCTCAATTAAAACCCCCGACCACTTCTAATAGAAGTCGTAAGTCCGACATTTGAGGGAAGTGTTTAGGTGATAATACACCTAGACCCCTCACTTGGGCATCCTAGTCTATAGGATTAGGTTGTAAGACCCACTATCGGTCAACTTCTACCTGAAGTCGTAAGCCCCCACATTTTTTAAAAATTGTAAAAATAAATAGCAATGATCCTAAATCTCAAACAAGCAAATTTAAAATTAAGGGCATCTTAGTCTAAACGATTAAGTTGTAAGACCCGCTTTTCAGGCTACTTCCTAAGGGAAGCCATAAGTCCTACCCAAACAATTAAAATTCTTGGGCATCCTAGCTTATAGGGTTAGGTTGTAAGACCCACATTCGGGCTACTTTCTACGAAAGCCATAAGTCCCAATTTAAATCAAATACTTGTGTTACTTTCTACGAAAGTCATAAATCACAATCTAGGTTTAAATCTCCGGGCAACTCCTAATTGGAGCCGTAAGACCCAAACTAAATAAATTAACAGGCAACTTCTAAGGAAGTAGTAAGCCCCAACTCAAATTAAATTAAAATTAAAATCAACATCTAACCACTTCAGTCTACTCGGGATCCCTGAGAGGAGGCAACCCATGGCTGCTAATCAGATTCCCTAGACATTACGGTCAATGATTGTTAGTGTTGGTAGATTGAAATCTATGGTATACCCAGGACGACGAAACCATGAGATCTTGATCGGGTTTATCTCCATCTTCCCACCATTTGAGACTAAAAATATCTAAAATTTATTCATCATTAATCGAGAGTTCTCTCTTACATAGTAAGAGGGGTAATTAACTATGAGTGCTTGCGCTCATTGGAAGTAAGAACCCTAGATCTATAAACCCTGACACTACCCTCAGGGGAAATCTGGTTAATTTCAATCTGATTTAACGGAAATGGAATCCTACAGTTGCAAAGCAGGATTCATGCATTCGTGCCATTTTTATTGAGCCAACAAAGACTGAAGTCCTCTACTATGGGTATTGCACTATCACTATAGTGTCTTTCCTTTTACCTCCACAGCAAGGCAAAGATGCCCTTACATAAATCCCTTCAACCAAACCCGGTGCGACGGAGAGCTGGAATCTTTATAATCCTCCAGGTGACAGCTGCAGACCTTAAATATTTATCTCTTTCCTAGAGAAGGCAGAGTACCTTGAATTTCTTTCTCACCCTCTTAGTGATGGAGAATAGAACCACATCCTTGAGCTAAAGAATTTCACCCCGAAGCCACTCAAGAAACCTAGACAGCCACTTGAAGGAATAAGGAAAGACACTTGTTAGGAGCAATTATGTGACCCCCTCACACTACATCTCCCTCACACTCAAGCTCTCCCTCTTCTTCTGAAAGCTTTCCTAGAACATCTCCTCAAAGCTACCTCTTAAGAACACTTAGTAGCTAAAAGACTCTTGAAACAAGTAAATAAGAGAGTCTAAATACAAGGTCTCACAAAAAGACCTAAATTTAATTTTGGCAACACTGATTGTCCAGTACAATCAGTTAAAAGTACTCATGTTAGTATGATACAAAGAGATAGGTGTTGTACGATCAGTTTAAGGAATTGAGTTGATCTTCCATGGCGATTCAAAGCATTGTCCAATATTGATTAGTTCAAATAACTTGGATTATCTTCTAGTATGATTGATGATGATTTAATTATTGTGCCATATAGGAATTGGGTTATACGGTATGGTTGGTTAAATCATTTTGTATGATCAAATTGGATCAATTAATATGAATTTATTCTCTAATCACAAGAATAATTTAGGTAAAATTTCATTACAATATATGATATAATATATATCGTCTAATATGATGAGTACAAATTTTGAATTTTAAACAATTACCTAAATTATGATTGGGGGTTGGGATCCTGATTATAAATGATCATCCTATATGATATACATCATACAGTATAATTAGTTCACCTTGTATTAATTATCACAATTTGTCATTTTAATTATTTTCTAATTAGCTGGTCGTGTAGTATGATATGTATCACATAGTGTGATTTATTCAGAAAATGTAACTTATGATGTTGTCACTAACTCATTCCCTTGAGTGTTTGTGTGTATGGTTTCCAAGCTTAATATAAACTAAAAACATGATTAGACTCAAAAAAGATAAAAATACATAAGAAATAAAAAATTGGACTCTTCATAACATTCTTAACCCTAGTCTATCTAATCTTGAGTTGATCAAACATGCAAGTGTACGATGGAACTGAAATGTTAGTGCATTGAAAAAATAAATATGCAATATTAGCAATTAATAGGAGATAACACAGTACAAAATCTAATAATATTTGTTATCATCAAAATCACAGTATTTGGTCCAGATTTGCAACATATTATTTTTGGTAATCTAGTGAGTTGAAAGTGAAAGTTTAATAGTTGGTTATGAAACCAATTGAACTATAGAATGAAACACCAAGATGTGGGTGAATTGATATTTTAAAAATCATTTTAAAAAAACCATTTTTAAATACACAACAAAATTCATAATCTTAAAGGCGTAAGCAAATAATAAAGACAAAAAACTTTTTTTTTCGTATTTTTGATTTTATAAAAACCTAAATAACAAAATTATATTTTTTCTACTTTTTTCTTTTTGAAGTAGCGACAAATTTAATCAACCATAATAATTATCAAACTCATCTAGATTGTAGTGAAATTAAAAATGTAAGAAAGTAAATATACAAAAAATGAAAAGAAAAACAAACTAGATTTTATAGTGGTTTGGTTAACTTGGTGTGAAGGAGTAACCAAATCCATTTTACCTCCTCATTTTGGCAAAGTTTTCATAAAATCATCATAGTTAATTGAGTATATTAGACAAAATCATTCACTTTTGCAATCAACTAGAATTTGATATTTTCAATTATTGATTTTTTTTTTCAAAATATTGACATTATTTTTTTTGAAGTAAGTATTTTTTTTTTTAAATTATCAATTCACCTATCCCTCTTAGTGTGCCTCGGGCTAGTTCTTTGAGGTCTCACAACCTCCGTGAACTTTTAAGTGATATCAAAGCGGGTCTTGAAAATTTTGTTTTTGAAATCATCAAGCAAAGATCTTATGGCTCAATTTGGTAACTTAAATAATACAGAGGGTTATTATATCCCATTAACCACTTTTGGACAACATTCCATTTGATTTCTAGAAGATTTACATGTATACTTTTATATAATCAATTAATTTTAGGATGTGACATATGATATAAGCTAGCAATTTTCTTCATCATGAATAGTCAATACAATAAATACTAAATTCCTTACACTAAATGGAGTTAAGAGGATAGAGAGTTTCCACAATTAAATTATAAATGTTTGAACTATTTCTTTTGTGCTTTTAAATTTGAGGATTATATACGGGTATCTACCTGCACTATAGGGAAGTAAATATGGGATAGACTATGCATAACATATAAGGAAACTAGTGAAGTAAA